TAGAAAGAGAGAGAACGCGAGCAGGGTAGGGGCGGGGAGAAAGGAACAGGGAGAATCCCAAGCAGGCTGCATGCTGTCAGCACAGAGCTGGATGCGGGGCTCTAACTCACAAACTGTGAGATTGTGACCTAAGTCAAGAGTCAAGAGTTCGCTTAACTGACTGAGCCCCCCCCAGGCACCCTAAGATTTTTATTTTTTTAAAGCAATCCCTACACCCAATGTGGGGCTTGGACTTACAACCCCAAGATCAACAGTCGCATGCTCATCACAGCCGGGTGCCCCTATGGTGATGGTTTTTACAGGGACCCCCCAGTTAATGGCAGGAGTTCCAGGCATTCGGGTCACCATAAGGTGGGCTGAGCCAGCCAGTCCCCCCTGTGGGGATGGAATCTTAAGGGCCTGACGATAGCCTGAGAATTCAGCATTCCCAGAGGCTTAGGGACTTGGCCAGAGGTCACACGAGGAGTGATCCAGGACCCAGAGGCCTCACCCAGTGGGCCCGTGACTGCTGGCCCCTGGGGGCTGTGGCGGCCTGGGGTCAGGGAGTCAGGGTGTCCAAGGGCAGCAGCGGGAAGTAGCCCATCTTCCCACCCAGGACACTTTCGCTCCCCCCTACTGCTCTAGGAGATGGGCACTTGGTCCTGTCCTGGGCAGTTGGCCCTCCTCTGGTCTCTGGCGCCCCCCTGTGGCCTGTAGCGGGGCAGGCCCCACCCCTGCCCTGCCCTGCCCCCTGAGGAGTGCCCAGAATGCTGCAGGTGACAGAACACCACCAGCCCCTGCTCCCTCCCAGGGGACAGAGGCAGTGAAGAGATCCCCAGATCTGGGTTTGAATCCTGCCTCCCTTCTGTCACCTGACTGACTTGGGTGAGACAGTCTACTCCATTTCACAGACGCAGGGCACAGGGAAGCCACAGGGCAGGTCTCCGAGGAGACCAAAGGGGAGATGAGTCAGAAAGTCCCCTGTGTATCGCCAGGGAGGCTCAGTTCAGCTCCAGAGACATTCACGGGGCGCCTCCTCCCTCAACCTGACCGTCTGGACTCCAGGAGGTCTCAGTCTGAGGGGGGAGGCAAATCCCCAAAGAGATCTTTTAATGGAAGAATTTGTTGTCTAAAGCCACTAAAATGCCCCACCCTTTGATCCCTCCTCTTGGACGGGCCCACAGTCCCATGGCGTCTGGTCCAGCCCAGCTGGAGACAGCTGGGCAGAAATCAGAAATGCCACTGGATAGAATCAGGCCCTCCCCTCAACCACCTCCTCCAGCCCAGCTTCCACCTCTCCTTGGCCTCGGTGTTCCAGGCCGGCCGCAGGCCTCGCTCTCGCCTATGCTTAAAAAGCCTGTGGTGGAGTTGTCAGCCCAGCCCCACTCCAGGGCTTCTCCATTCACCTTCGTCCTTCCCAAGCCTCAGTATGTCCATCTGCCAAATGGGTGTAACCATCCCTGCCTCGCCTACTTGCCTCCCTAGTCGGCTGTAACGACACAAATAAAATGAAATCAGAAACTAGCGAGGTTCCCCCCCTACCTCTTGCGGAGGGGATTGGGGGAGGGTGTGTGCCAAGAGCGGCCGGCATCCCAGGGAGAGAGGGGACTACAACTCCCATCCGGCTCCGGGGTCGCGGGCGTCTCCAGCCCCCTTTCCCAGGGGGTTGAGGGAAGCTGCACTGCCCCGGGCATCCCCCACCTAGGTTAGGGGCCGGCGAAAGCCCCGGTAGGGCTGGCTCTGGGGCCACGCGGAGACCTAGGTAGCCTTCCCGGCCCCGGGGGGAGACCACCCCCCTTGGCCCGGCCCAGTCAGGAGTTTACTCTTCGGGACCCGCCCCCCCACTTCCTGGCCGAGGGTTTGGCCCGCCCCCGCGCGCCTCCGCCCTCCCACCTTCACTTCCAGTCGCGTCTCCCATTGGCCGGCGCTCACCTGCCCGTCCGTCGGGGGGCGGGGCAGAGGGCGGGGCGCGACGCCCAGGTGTGGGCGCGCAGGAGGCCGCGAAGGAAGGTGACAGCGGGGAGGGCGGGAGGGGTGGGGGGAGGCCGCGCTAACGACCCGCGGACGGACGGACGGACGGACCGACGGACCGACGGGCCGGCATGCGGGCGGCCCGGCTCTAGCCCGGGTGCGGGGCTCCGGCTGCAGCTATGGAGCGGCGGCTGCGCGCGCTGGAGCAGCTGGCGCGGGGTGAGGCCGGCGGTGGCCCCGGGCTCGACGGCCTCCTGGATCTGCTGCTGGGGCTGCACCACGAGCTCAGCAGCGCCCCCCTCCGGCGGGAGCGCAACGTGGCGCAGTTCCTGAGCTGGGGTGAGTGGCCCGGGCTGGACCGAGGTGGGGTGGTCCCGGGGACACCGCGCCGGGACCC